CCCACGCCGTTCCCGCGCGCGTGCGCCGCACACGCAGTTGGCGCCCCAGCCCTGCCCGCTCCCCTCCGCTCCCGCCGGAGCCAAACAGCACGGTGTAGAGGAGCCGCCAGGGCTGGCGGAAGGTCCCCCCGTCCTGAGTGTCCGTTCCCAAGTCCGAGGCGCCTCCGTGGGCCTCGCTCGCCCCGGCGGGCGCCCCGTGGCTGGCGTGCCCACGCGGGACGCGGGCACGGCGGCCTCCGGGGGTGACCCCACCCCCGCGGACAAGGAGCGCGAGGGCTCGCTGGGAGAGTTGCCCCGTGGACTCTGCGGCCCTCCTTGTGCGAACCTGCTTGCTCGCATCCTAAAGGGACTCCTTGTGGTTCACAGCCTGGCAGAAGAGTCAGGACCACGGAAGCCCCGAGAGCCAGCGAGTGCGCGCTCCAGGGACTTGTGCTTGTGGAAGGATACCTAGTGTTCCTCCTGGGGAACGCTAAGGAACCACTGTGGCCAAAAACCGTGATTACGAGGTTGAGGGCAGCTCTTCCTGGTTGCCGTGGAGGTCGCTCTTGGTGACCAGGAGTTGAAATGGTGGGGTTCGGGGACATCCTTAGGTGTGAGGTGTTAAACTGTTTGGGCCCTTGTAATGTCTTTTCTGGTTTTTTTTTCCCCCTCTCTTTATCTTTTTTTTTTTTTTGGCCGGTCCTGGGACTTGAACTCGAGGCTTGAGCACTTGTCCCTGGGCTTCTTTTGCTCAAGGATAGCGCTTTACCACTTGAGCCACAGCCCTACTTCCGGCCTCTTTAAAGATTCTCGGGGACTTTCCTGCTCTCACCAGATTTGAACCTCCATCCTTAAATCTCAGCCTCTTGTGTAGATAGGATTGCAGGCGTGAGCCACCCGACTAGGCTTTTCTTCTTAAGCTTAGACTAGGCTTAAGTCTTCTTAAGCTTAGAAATCATTTAACTGGATACAGTTTCCTTCAGAGGACTCATTAGTTTCTTTACTGAGAAAAAAATGGTGGTTTACATGATCCCTTTTAGACGTTTGGAAAATATCAAATTAGCTTCATTTACTGCAGCGTTGGAGTATGTGTGTGGGGTGGGGGCGCAGAGCGGAGTTCTGGGGCTTGAATTCAGATCTTGGGAGCTATCCTTGAGTTTCTTTGCTCCTGGCTAGAGCTCTACCACTTGAGCCACAGTTCCACTTCTGGCACGCGCGTGCATGTGTGTGTGTATTTGGACATAAAAATCTCCCATACTTTTCTGCCGGGGCTAGCTTTGAACCACCATCCTCAGAGCTCAGCCTCCTGAGTAGCTAGGAGTACAGGCGTGAGCCACAGGCTGCCAGCTGAGCATTTTGATAATAACTCAGCCTGTGGTGTTGGTATGCTGTCAGGGCACACAGTGTTCAGATAACTTTTTGTTTGAACTTCAAAGACTAAGTGAAATTAACAAGTGTAAGACATGGATAATCCAATTTGTAATTTAGTTTCCTTATTGCATGGAAGATGAGTGTGATTATTTAGACAGGGACCAAAACTGTGTCATCTGACAGTGCATCAGAACTCTTGATTTCTTTTACAGCAATTTCAGGTTGACAGCAAAATGAGAGGGAGATAACAGATACCCCGTGTACCTTCTACTCCCCCAATATACATTGCCTCTCCATTATCACCATCCCCCAACAGAGTGGTTACAATTAATTGTCAGTGCTAAGGGATTAGTGCTTACTGTTGGTACATTCTGTGGGCTTGAACAAATTTACAACATGCACCCACATTATGATACCGTTCAGAATATTACATTGCCTTAAGAATGTCTGTGCTCTGTCATTCTTTCCCCACTCCTCCCCCTTTTACAAAGGCCATTGATGTTTCTGGTTCCATAGTTTTGCCATAATTTGTTTTTTTCAGTAACATGTGTTAGTCTCTGGAAATACTGCCTTTTTTTTAGAGGCTGTCAGTAGTTGAGGCTTTTTTATGCTGATAATACTGTCGTGGTTTCAGAAATGATTGGATTATTTTTAAAAACATTAAGTTTGGATAGTTTTTTGAAAAACATTGTTTTTAGAGCAATTTCAGGTTGACAGCAGAATTGAGCAGGAAGTACAGAACATTCCCCTGTACATATTTCCATACACCCGCCTCCCTAATCAACATGGACAGGAGTGCTTTTGTTAACGATCCATGAACCCATATTATTGACACATGATTACCCAGAGTCCACAGATTATATCAGGGCTCCATTTATACATTGTTGAACAGTATTTTCAATGAACGTTTTAATTTTCAGCATTTCTAGAGGAAACCAAGTTCATAATGGGCTTGTTGTTTCTGGAAGTTTCCTTTGTATTCTGTTAGTTTATGTTGTTTAAAATAGATGTGTCCTCTAGCTAAAAACTGGTACTCAAAAACAACAATGTTTTTGCTGTAGGTTGTATGTTAGTGGTTGTACTGCATTGCTCTTTTGATACCTGCCCCACTTCTTTCTTTCTATCTTTTTCTTTCTTTCTTTCTTTCTTTCTTTTTTTTTTTGCTGGTTGTGAGACCTGAAATTTGGGCCTGGGCGCTGTCTCTCAGCTCTTGAGCTCAAGGCCAGCGTCCTACCACTTGAGCCACACCACCACTTTCAGCTTTTTCTGCTTATGTGCTAAGGAATCGAACCCAGGGCCTTATGCATGCAAGGCAAGCACTCTACCACTGAGCCACCTTCCTAGCCCCCATATGTATATTCTTGACCCCAGTTTGCTATCCTTTTATTAGCAAATCCTTTCCTGTTACCAAACTCATTTGGAGCCACAGACAATTATAGTCACCTACGAATATGAAAATGTGAACTATCAAGGCATAGCATTTTTTTGGGGGGGAGGTCTGGTCGTGGGGCCTGAACTCTGGGCCTAGGCGCTGTCCCTCAGCTCTTCAGCTCAAGGCTAGCATTCTACCACTTGAGCCACAGCGCCACTTCTGGCTTTTTTTTTTTCTGTGTATGTGGTGCTGAGGAATCGAACCCAGGGCCTCAAACATGCAAGGCAATCGCTCTACCACTGAGCCACCCTCCCAGGCCATGGCATACATAGCATTTTATATGATTAAGTTGTAGTGAGATGTTAAATTGCTTTTATTTCCCCCTTGGGTAAGGGGGCTTGAACTCAGGGCCTAGGCACTTTTCCTGAGTTGTTCTGCTCAAGACTAACACGCCACTATATTGAGCAACAGTGCTGCTGCTGGTTTTCTGGTAGTTAATTGGAGATAAGAGCTTCACAGACGGGCTGGGAAGATGGCTCAGTGGTAGAGCACTTGCCTTGCATGCATGAGGCCCTGGGTTCGATTCCTCAGCACTACATAAGCAAAAAGAAAAAAAGCCGGAAGTGGCGCTGTGGCTCAAGTGGTAGAGCGCTAGCCTTGAGCTGAAGAGCTGAGGGACAGCACCCAGGCCCAGAGTTCAGGCCCCACGACCGGACCCAAAAAAAAAAAAAAGCTTCACAGACTTCTCAGCCTGAGCTGGCTTTGAACCATGATCCTCATATCTATCTCAGCCTCCTGAGTAGCTAGGATTGCAGGTGTGAATCACTGGTGCCAGACTTAAATTGTAATTTTTTACTAATATCTCACCCCCTTAATGTGAAGAGTATTATTTTAAAGCATCATCGCTTAAGTAAGAGCACACAGTATTGTTTTGCATAGAACCGAGCACATAAGATAAACTTAATTAATAATAGAAGGAATTGGAGTGTTTGTTTATATTCAGAAACTTAAAAGTAAGTTTTACCATGTGATAGTAGCTCATGTAATTGTACCTTAATTATCTGTAATTAGTTCTCCTAACATGTGAGTACTGCTTTATTTTTCTCTGAAGTAAACGATAGGTTCATCTGTCGTTTTGGAAAAGTAGTGTGATGAAATGATATTAGATACATAAGAATGTTGATGTATTTTAAAAATGTATGTTAAAACATTGAAGTCTGGCTGTAATCCTGACTACTCAGGAGGTGGAGATCTGAGGATATAGTTTGAAGCCCAGGCAGGCAACTGGGAGACTTTTATCTCCAATTAACCAGCAAAAAGCCAGAAGTGGAGATGTGGCTCAAGTGGTAAAGCCCCAACCTTGAGGGATAGGCTGAGGGAAGGCTGAGTAAAAGCCGTAGGCCCTGAGTCCAAGCCCTGGAACCAGTGTGCACGCATGCGCACAAACACACACACGCACACATTGAAACTGTTATACATGGTAAATATTGTGATTTTTTAAAAATGAGAATGAAAATTAGCATTGCACTCTGTGGATTTCTACATAAGCACTGTTTAGTTTTGTTTATTGGAGTGGCAAGTATTGTGGCTGAATTGTCATTTTGTTTACCTTGATTTTTATTAATGTGTATATTTTTCTTTGTTGAGTTCCTTAAAACCTGTTTTTCGATACATGAAATGGTGAAAGGGAATGTCTCACTTTACACTTTGTTGCACCTGAATCCAGATTTAGAAAACTTTATACGAATTTAAGACAGTATACTTAATTTTTTGATAAGTTGTTTGTGCCTTTCCCTAAAGAAATCGCAAACATTTCCATATCAAGAGCTCTTTCCTTTCTTCCTTCCCCTTTGTTTTCTTTCCTTCCCTCCTTCCCCCTTCTTTTTCCCCCCTCCTTTCCCCCCCTCCCTCCCTCCCTCTCTCTCTCTTTCTTTCTTTCTTTCTTTCTTCCTTTTTTCCTTTCTTCCTTTCTTCCCCTCCCTCCCTTCCTTCCTTTCTTGTAGGGAGCCAGTACTAGGGCTTAAATTCAGGAACTGCTATTCCATGGCTCTTTTGCTCAAGGTTGGTGCTTCCACTTGCCATAGCTCTACTTCCCTTTTTTTTTTTTTCTGACTAGTTGGAAATAAAGTCTCATAGACTTTTCTACCCAGGCTGGCTTTGAATTGTGATCCTTAGTATGTAGCTAGAATTACAGGTGTGAGCCATAAGTGCCTGGCAGCTGTACCTCTTAAACCACACACATAACCCTCTTACCCCAGTCCTTCTGTTTTTAATAGGGTCTTGCTTACTTTGCTCGATCTGATCTTGAATTCACAGCCCTTCTTCTGCCTCTTGAGCAGCTGGGATTACAGGCATATACTTCTACTTGAGTTTTCCTAATGACTAGTAATGTTAAGCTGTTTTTCATGTGCTTATTTGCCATTGACTATCTCTGGAGAAGCATGTATTCACAGCTTTTGCCTTCTTTTGAATTAGGTTATTTGGGAGTTTAAGTTATAGCAGCTTCTTATGTACTGTAGATAGTATTCTTTTATCATATATATGACCTGAAAGTATTTTCTGTATCTTTTCATTTTTTGATATCTATTGATCAAACATTTTAGTTCCCCTGAAGTCCCATTTTTTCCTATTTTTTATTTATGATTTAATCTTTCTTGTGCTGGTCTTGAGGCTTGAACTCAGGCACTGTCCCTGAGCTTTTGTGCTCAACAGTACCAGTCTACTACTTGAACCACAGCTTCACTTCCAGTTTTCTGGTGGTTAATTGGAGATAAGAGTCCTTCCTGGGCTGGCTTCAAACCAAGATCCTTGAATCTCAGCCTCCTGAATAGGTAGGATTACAGGTCTGAGCCACTGGGCCTGGCTGTCACAGTATTTCTTGGGTTGTACAATACACAGTAAACTTGGACTTAAATCTTTTTTAACTTCTTTGGAATTAAATTTCTTAATTTACTAGTAAGCACAGTGTGATCACCTTCACGGGGTATTTCATTTTAGGATAAAGCACGAAAAAGCTATCACTAGGGGAGAGGTGTCATTATTTCATCAAATCACTGGTTATAAAGGAGGTCATATAAATGAGCATTTATATTTTTAATGTTTGTTTTAATGGAATACTTGTGTTCTTTCTTCAAGGCCTACATGAATCCAATAGCAATGGCCAGATCAAGGGGGCCAATTCAGTCTTCTGGGCCAACAATCCAGGATTATCTAAATCGACCAAGACCTACCTGGTATTTGTGAAATGTTTTACTCATTTATAACTTTTAATTAACATCTTATAGTTGATTCAAAGTCTTTTATTTTTATTTTCATTTTTCCAGAGCTGAGGACCGAACTCAGGGCCTTGCACTTGCCAGGCAGGCGCTCTTCCGCTAAGCTAAACCCCCAGCCCCTTCTTAAAACTCTTGTTGCTGGATAGCTTTTGTTTTGGTAGTACTAGAGTTTGAACTCAGGGCCTGAAGTTTGCCAGGAGGACAATTACTGTTTTTCAGCTAGTCTCACATTTTTACCCAGGGCCAGCTTGGACTGCAGTCTATTTGTGCCTCCCATGTACCTGTGAATACTGATGGGTACTATCCAGCTTAGTTGTTGAGATAGACTGTCACTGACTTTTTTTTTTCTGATACTGAACCTTAAACTGCAATGCTCTTGATCTCTGCTTCTGAGTAGCTGGGATTGTAGGCATAGGCTTGAGTTGCTTTTAAAAAACAATTTGACATGCTTCTTTCACTTGCATAACTAAAACATTTGGCAGTTTACCACTTGATACAGCTTAAGCACTGATGGGTAACTTTTTCCAACCAATCTGTATCCCATTTAAAAAAACAAAAAAACTTACTTTGGGGCTGGGACTGTGGCATAGTGGCAGAGTGTTTGCCTAGCATGCATGAAGCCCTGGGTTCAGTACCTCAGTACCACATAAGAAAAGGACAGAAGTGGAGAGGTGGCTTAAGTGGTAGAGTGCTAGCTTTGAGCAGAAGAAGCTCAAGGACAGTGTGCAGGCCCTGAGTTCAAATCCCAGGACTGGCAAAAAAAAACAAACAAAACCTTACTTTGTTATTTTCTAAGCTACCTAAAATTGGGGATTTGAGTAAACATGCCCTTTATTGAGAGTTAACCAAATTTTAAAAAGGTTAATGTTCAGCTAATTTCAGGCTATTCGGTAAGTTAGAAACATTCACTGAGTAACTCTGATCTTTTATAAATAAAGTATTTTAGTACATGCCTTATTATTTTTAGTATGTTTTCCTTGTAGTAGTACCATATGCAAGTAGTACCATATGTGGTACCATATGCAAGCTTCTACATGCTAGCTTCAAAGAAAGCACTGAAAACTGAGTAACTGGTGTTGAAAGGTGTGCTTATTGTAGGAGATTTGTTTGGGGCTAAATGAGAAGTAACTGTTGCCGTCTGACCTCTGTAGTGTGCATAAGTGCTGCTGTTAACCATTGCAGCTTTCCAGGAAATAAATTATTCCAAAACAAAGTAATTTTACCTTTAAAGAGAAGGAATGAACTTTAAAGGGGAAGTGTTCAAGCAATCATATTACCTTTGTGTCAGAGGTCTTTAAGATAATCTTTGGGTTAGATAATTCGTAAGAGAACTCACAGGAGTCTCGGCAGATAGTTCTATGCCTGGTAACATTCCTGAAAAGATTCCAGAGACCATCAGCAAAAGAAAAGGAAGGGTGCAGGGGAGATCAGGAGAGGCCTGGCACTGGCTTCCAGGGTTCTCACCTAATGGAATTATAATTATGAAAGACACACTTAATTCCCTCAACAGGGAGTTTGACAGCACATGAATGTTGCTGGCCTGAGAGGTTGATTAGAGACTTGATACACAGAGTTGTTCTTAACAGGCTGGGTGTGCATTCTGAAATTCAAGGAAACAGCTCTTGAGCCTATACTGTCCTACACAGCTTACTCTTAAGTAAACCATTCATGATCAGAGAATGGTAAGAAGCCTCCAAAATCCCAGTTCCCAGATGCCCACTTTGGGCAAGTTCTATAAGCAGGCTTTTCTAACAATTAGAACTCAATCTCTGCAAATGTGTCAGGTACATGACTGAATGGGAGATTTAGTAGTAAAAATGTATCAGTCCTGTTAGATAGTTCTTAGTTCACCCTAACACTGAAGCTATATGACCTTGGACAGATTTCTTACCCTTTGCAAACTTAGTCTCTATAAAATGGGGGCACATACTACCTTTTCTCACAGGGTTGTTGTGAGGATTAAGTGGATATGTATATAAGCAGTGTATTGTATGTAAGTGTTGCTGTCGCATGTTAAATCTTACATTCCATGTATAGAAGAGGAATGATAATAATCACAATAGATTATCTAAATGATATGAACAAATTTGAAATATATCAACATTGGAATGGAGGGCTATTAAGTATGAAATTGTGAACATTCATATTATTTGAAGTGCTTGAAGTCTTATTTGCACAATCTTTTTTTAAAGGGAGGAAGTAAAAGAACAACTCGAAAAGAAAAAGAAAGGCTCCAAGGCTTTGGCTGAATTTGAAGAAAAAATGAATGAGGTTTGTTAACAGTATCTCTTAAAGAGACTAATCTTCTAAAGTGAAATCCTTTTTATATGTTTCACTTTTAATTAACCAACCATTTGGATATAGTTCTTTAGGTTAAGACATCTTTTCATTTTACCAGTAATAGTGTTAAGTTGAATACATATTTGTGTTTAAATGATACTTTCTTTTAACAATTAAAATAGGCTGATGCCAGTGGCTCAAGTTGCTTAGAAGCCTGAGATCTGAGGATAATATTTCTAAGCTAGCCCAGGTAGGAATGTCTATGAGACTCATCTCCAAAACACTGCCAAAAAGCCAGAAGTAGAGTGCTAGCCTCGAGCCCAAAGGCTCATGGATGGCACCCAGGCCCTGAGTTCAAGTGCTAGGACCAGCACCAAAAAAATAAAATAAAGAGATGTTAGTCCTAGAAACACCCCACTCTCCCCATTCTCCATCTGGAATCTCCATAGTGTCTATAGTGCTGTTTGTGTATTTTGATTGCAAATATATATGTATGGTTTAACCATAGTCTATAACTCAACTGTTTTCTGGAAAGAGAATCTAACTATCTTAATTGAAAAGAAAACAGTCTGTGGCCTCAGTGCCCATATCTGTTTCTCTATATGATATTCAGTAGGGTACTCTACCAAAATAGCAAATAGAGGTTCCTTGGTGATAAAATGAAAGATGGAAACTTAAGAGTTGCTTGGGTTTGTGTTTGTTTTTTTTTCCCCTTTGTACTAGTACAGGGACTTGAACCCAGATTCTTGAGTACTCTCAGCTTTTTTACTCACAGTTGGTAGCTGGCATTCTACCATTTGAGCCATGCCTCCAGTTTGGGCATTTTGCTGGTTAACTGGAGATAGGAGACTCTTGGATTGGTCTGCCCACACTGGCTTCAAACCTCAATCCCCATATCTTAACTTCCTGAGTAGCGAGTATTGTAGATGTGAGCCACTAGCAGTTAGAATATCATTCATTCATTCATTTTGAGAGAGCCCAGGCTGGGCTCTAGATCCTGTGCTCAATCTTCCAGCCTCAGCTGCCCAAGAAGCTGTGGCCACAGGCACATAGCCCTAGTATACACCACTGCAAGCCATAGTATCTGTTAACTAATTAGAAGCAAAGGTGCTTGAAAAACAGCATGGGTATGAGAAAGTACTGGGTGTCTATATGTTGTCTGTTTAGAAGAGATCAGCAACCTCTGATAGTATCTATAACTATTTTGCAGAACTGGAAGAAAGAGCTAGAAAAACACAGGGAGAAACTATTAAGTGGAAATGAGAGCTCATCTAAAAAAAGACAGGTAATACCATTTTAATTTATTGCTATTCTTAATCTCATAGTCATATTTTCATACTAAAACCATTAAAATAGATGCATTTGAAAACTAACATCAACTTAGTCTCATATTTATTGTTTCCATCTAGAGAAAGAAAAAAGAAAAGAAGAAAGCTGGTAGGGTGAGCAAAAGTTTTCTATTTTTATAAATACTGCAATTAAAGAGTCTATTTAAAAACATAAAAGTAAATTATTTAATCTGTATGCTAAAGCTCACTTAAGACTAGATGAGTCAAGCAGCCTGGAGGTCATTTGGCTGTGATGAGTGGCAGTGTTCTGTCAATAACAAGATGCCAACCTCCTTATAACCTTGTAACTTCTCTGCTGCTGTTGAAGAAGACAATTGATCACCATTGCCATATGAATTGTCACCTCAGTGAGAGTTTTGAAGGGAGAATGAAAGTGAGACTTTTACATTTTAATATTTAAATCTTGTGAATATGGCATCTATTTCTCAGATACTAGATTGATTTCACTAAGTACTTGAGAGACTTGATAAATGAAAACAATTCCCGCATCTCACAAGCTTTAATTGTTTTGTGCTTGGTCAAGTATTCATCTTCTTCTTCATCAAGCTCTGATTCTTCCAGCAGTTCTTCAGATTCTGAAGATGAGGTAAGGTTCACTTGGAATAGTTCATAAAATAATGTCTTTATACTTTTTAATATGAAACTTGTGAAGTACCAATTAGAAATGTTTACCTCCAGATTGTGAATAATTATAACTTATAGGACTGACATGAATGAATGAAATTATCTTTTATATTTTAAAATTTTAATATTATAAATATTATATAATATGTAATATAATATAAACATACTTTAAAATTATGTTTTTACTTTTAAAAAATATATTTGATTTATTTAAAGTATCAGAAGAAGAAAAATATGAAAAATACGAAATGCTATTTGACTAGATATTAATATGTGCTTGAATTCACTTGACTTTTATAAACCAAGAAAGTGATTTGTTACATTATGAATATTAACTAAGGAAAAATACATGTTTACAAGCAGGTCATTCCATTAAGTTTTTTTATTGATAAAATTTTAATATTAGTGAACTGCAATAATTACATTTCTTAAAGAGAAAACAATTTTTTAAATGTTTTATGCAGGATAAGAAACAAGCAAAAAGGAGAAAGAAGAAGAAGAACCGTTCACATAAATCTTCTGAAAGCTCTATGTCAGAAACTGAGTCAGACAGTAAGGTAAAATTATTTAAATTGTTAATATTTTGAATAACAAAAATATTTCATCTCTTAGTTCTATCTTCTTTTCAATATTTTTATTCTTTGAGATTCTGTGTTACCTTACTAATGTTCAGGTGCTGTTTAATAATTCTCCTAAGTCTTTTTACCTATCTTCCTGTCTCCATATACTCATAAGATTTTTCCCATTTTTACAGAGTTGAAGTTCAGAGGGGAAAAAAAAGTCTTGTTTAAATTCATGCAGCTAATGTTAAATTAGATGATTCAGTATATACATTTCCCACCCGCCTTGGTGGACTGAGTTTTAAGCTCAAGGCCTTGTACTGAGCCACACCTCCAGCCCTTTTTTAATTTTTGTGTGTGCTGGGGCTTGAACTCAGGACTGGGGTAGTTTCCTTTAGATTTTTCTGCTCAAAACTGAGATCTATCATTTGAGTCACACTTCTAGCTTTTTGCTGGCTGATTGGAGATAAGAGTCTCACAAACTTTTCTGCCCTGGCTGGCTGCAAACCACAATTCTCAGATCTCAGCTTCCTGAGTGGCTAGAATTACAGGCATGAGCCACCAGCATCCAGCTTGCACTGGTTATTTTAAGATAGGGTTTTGCTTATGGCCCAGCTTCTGATTAAATGGATGGTAGTTCAGAGTTTTCTGCCACACTGTTCTGGAACTGAGATCTTCCTGTTTTCATCCTTGCACATAGCTGGGGTGATAGGCTTGTGGACCTCACCCAGCTAGAATTTGAATCAATGTCTGGCTCAATGTCCAGTGGTACTTCCGTAGTAACCAAAATGATCAGGCACAACTGTCTCTCAAACCTTAATGATCATTTTAGGTATGAGGCTTTCTATAAAAATGTTGATTTTAATGGCTAAGAATGTGCCTCAATTGTAGAGTATATGCTTAGCATGTACACGGACTTTATTCAGTGTTGCACCCCAAAAGACAAAAAGGTTGATTCCTGGGTCTTAAGTGTGATGTTGTAACTCTAATTAGGCTAAGAAGAATTCATAATTTTGACAAATACACGTTATGATGCTGATATAGAGGTATTCATCCATTTAGAGGTATATGATATAGATCAAAAATTGATAAACACAGTTCCAGGTTCTCAGAAAACTAAAGCATCTGTTTGAAGTTTGCGCCAGGAATCAGTGTACCCCAGCCCAAAATCTAGAAAGTGATCAATAAATGTTGTTTTTCTCTTTTTTAAATTAGCTTAACTTGATACAAAGAAGTTCCATAGTATTTGCATATATGTACATAATTTATTGTGGGAAATTCATCGCATTTCTGGCTTGTGGGTTTATGGTAGTGCTGGGGTTTGAACTCAGGGTTTAGGCAGGTTCTCTACCTTGAGCCACTCCACCAGCCCTTTTGGTATTGGTTATTTTTCTGAATTAGAATCTCACTTATGTTCCCACTGGCCTAGAATATAATCCTTCTGTTCATCCTTGTGCTGAGATAACAAGCATATACCACAACACCCAGTCATTGTGTTTTCCCCACATCTGGGATGACAGGTGCTCCATAGTTGGTCAAGAAGGAGTCTTGAACTTTTTTTTGCCAGACTGTCCTTGAAACATAATCCCCCCCAATCTATACCTCCCAAAGTAGTAAGAATTACAGGTATGTGCCACTGCATACAGTGTATGTTGCTTTTTTAAAGCTTGTTCTCCTCATTTTTCTTCTAAAGCAGCAGTCTTGTGATAATGATAGTTGACATTTATTGAAGTCTTAATGTATGTTGTTTATCAATTTAACACTCTTAATCCTGTTCAGTAATTATTTGGTAGTCCATAAAGTAGACAGAAAACTGAAGGTCAGGGATACTAATTGCTGCAACTAAGATTAAAAACAAAATTTCTTACCTCTGTTACTGATGAATAGGCAGATTGATTTGGTGGGTGTTAAGCAACAATGTAAACTAGAAATGCAGCAAACAAAGATAGGCATTTGCATAAAATTCTACTTAAAAATAAGCTACCTAACAGATGGAAATATTTTCTTACCTATCCTGATTCTAGACCTAAAATAGTAATGTGGCATAATTCAGATGGGGTGGTCTAGTTGAGGTGAGGGACCAGTGGGAGAGGGTGATAAGGTGAACACGATCAAACTACTTTATAGGAAATATTGTAACAAAACCCACTACAAACTTAAAAAAAAAAGAGCGAAGGAGAAACTGAATTTAATGAAAGTTGATTATATTCTTGTGTGGTAACATCACTACTAAACCCTTGTGTACAATAAAAAATAAGTCAGGCACCTGTGGTTCACGCCTGTAATCCTGGCTACTCAGGAAGCTGAGATCTGAGGATCACGGTTCAAAGCCAGCCCTGGCAGGAAAGTCCATGAGACTCTTATCTCCAATGAACTACTAGAAAACCGGAAGTGGAGCTGTGGCTCAAGTGGTAGAGTGCTCGCCTTGATCTGAAGAGCTGAGGGACAGCGCCCAAACCCAGAGTTCAAGCCCCAAAACTGACAAAAAACAAAACAAAAATATAAATATATATACACACATATATATATATAATAAAATCAACATAAAGTCACATGGGTATTTCAGGCAGTTTTGGAAGTATACAGATTTGATATATGGTCAGATAAAGCCTATTTGCTTATAAGCAAATACGTAACAGATTTCTCTATTATTTTTAGAATAATATGGTAACTTTAAAATAAACTTTTTCCATCGTAAGCAAGTCATTTTGTTTTTTTTTTGTTCTATAATGCTATGCCTTTTACATTTAAAATCGACTTGTGTGTTTCATATATATATATATATATACTTACACATATATATATTTGTTTAGGATAGTTTTAAAAAGAAAAAGAAATCAAAGGATGTGACTGAGAAAGAAAAGGTAATTTTCACACTGCCTTAAGATAATCTATTTTACAACATTTAATTGACCTCAAGAAACTAACTGATGTAAATGAAAGAATACATTTATTTTTGCTTTAATGGCATTTCATGTTATAAGGAAAAGATATTTAATACAGCTTCATTATTGAAGGTAAAAAAATAAAAGAACATTTCTATGTTGAGTTTGAATTTGTGTATTTTAATGGATTATCTCAGATTTAAAATATAATGAAAATTCAACCTTTCTTTTGTTTACTCAAGGTACTTTTCTGTGGAGGAGTATGGTTTGGGGGTTTGAACTCAGAGCCTCATGCTTGTTAGGCAAGAGTTCTAACACTGAACCACACCTCCAGTCTTCCTTTTCACCTATTACTTTTGAGATACAGTCTCCTGCCTGGGAATGTACCTGCGAATGTCACTTATTTTAGGCTCCTGTTGTAAGGATGATAAGTGTGAGCCATAGCATCCAGCTTCTGTCTGGAGATGGAATCTTATGCACTTTTTTTTTTTTTAATTTTACCTTGCTTGGCTGGGAATTGTAAATCCTACCAATCTTAGCCTCCAACATAGCTAGAGATAACAGGTACATACCACTATACTTAGCTATGGATAGAGAAGGGGTTTCACAAACTTTTCTTCCTGAGCTGCCCTAGAAATTGAATCCTCCCATTCTAAAGAAATAGGGAGGATTTTACATCTAAATGCATATGTAGATACTTTAGGTTTAATTTTAAACACATCCCTTTATTAGGATTAATGATTAAAAATCCTGATAAATGTCACCATTTTTAGGTATTTCTAAATTAAAAAATGCTAATTTTCTGATTGGGAGAATTCTTAGAACTGGAAACAAAATTTGTGTCCTATCTTTTGTATTTGTATTTTACTAGAAACAAAATTTATATCATATCTTTATGAGTCAAATTACACTTATTTTTCATAGGACATTAAAGGACTTGGCAAGAAAAGAAAGATGTATTCTGAAGACAAAGCCTTATCATCTGGGTCCTTGTCAGAATCAGATTATGCTGAGGAAGTAAGTAAAAGAAATGGTGTTTCTTCCTTCAGAATTAGTTTGGCATTCTTCTAGACGATTATTATGAATAGTATTTAGCAATTTTCCATATGTTCTCATACTTCCAAATATCTAATTTTTACTCTCCTAATATCTTTGTAATGAGGTTCTGAGTATATGAACGAAGCATGTAACTATAGCAATTGAACCCAGCAATTTTTATATGGTTAAAATAAAATGTTGCGCATATCCAACTTCCTGTTTTTGTTTTGAGCATACAGTAAAGTAGAAAGATATTAAAATGTTGGCATAAAATTTATAAAATGAAAGAGAATTAGGCCATCTTCAATCTGTTTCCATTCTAACAATCTGCATTTTACATTTTGTGCCCTATTAGAATTAGAACCCCTTCTTAGTTAATTTTGCTCAGGTACTTATGTCACCTTTCATGTTTTTCATCTTGGTTTTCTCATCTGTAAATAGAAGTCATGTTACATTACCTTATTGTGGCAACTAAATTGAGATGATTATGAAGGGCCTTAGCGAATACATGGGTCAGAAATGATGATTACAGGTTCCATAACTCTTAGCAGAAAATCTAACCCAAGGTTGCACTGAAGTCATTTTGAATTAAAGTTGCACCTTTCTTTAGAGATCCACATGTTCACCTCCAAACAATGCAAAAAAGAATTGAAGTGCTGATCTTCTTTGTTAAAAGGAGAGCTTGAGCTAGTTGCCAGTTGCTCCTGCTTGTAATCCTAGCTAGTCAGGACGCTGAGATCTGAAAATGGTGGTTTGAAGCCAGGCTGGATTGTCCTCCAGATTTTTTTTTTTTGGGTCCGGTCATGGGGCCTGAGCGCTGTCCCTCAGCTCTTCAGCTCAAGGCTAACTCTCTACCATTTGAGCCACAGCGCCACTTCTGGCTTTTTCCTTTTTGCTTATGTGGTGCTGAAGAATCGAACCCAGGGCCTCAAGCATGCAAGGCAAGCGCTCTACCACTAAGCCAACTTCCCAGCTCCTGTCCTCCAGATTTTTATGCCCAGTTAATCTCAGAAAAAAAACCTGAAGTGGCACTATAGCTCAAGTGGTAGAGTGGTAGCCTGAGCAAAAGGAGCTCAGGGATAGTGCCCTGGCCTACAGTTCAAGCCCTAGGACTGGCAAAAAAAGGGGGGGGGGGCCTGTTTTTTTCTTTTTTCTTTGGTTGGTCATGGGACTTGAACTCTGGGCCTGGGCGCTGTCCCTCAGCTCTTCAGCTCAAGGCGAGCGCTCTACCACTTGAGCTACAGCGCCACTTCCGGTTTTCTGGTGGTTTATTGGAGATAGGAGTCTCACGGTCTCTTCCTGCCTGGGCTGGCTTTGAACCGCGATCCTCAGATCTCAGCCTCCTGAGTAGCTAGGATTACAGGCGTGAGCCACCAGCGCCCGGCTTGTTTTTTTCTGATTCCATCTCTTTTCTGTGCCAGTCTGCTGCTGCATCTGACCTACCTAGCTTTATTTCTGCCTACTCTATTCCTCAACTCTCCTGCATTTTGCCTTTCTCGTTTGTGTCAGTCTCCCTTCTGATTTGTTTGATCTGTGAATAATTGCTTTCAGTCCCATCAGATTTATTGCCCCCAGTTTATAGCAGTATCTTGTAATGCTCCTTGAGATGAAAGTCACAATTAATATAAACTACATTAATTTAGAGAGTTATTAGTTGGATTTGAACTTGGAGTATCATACTTGCTCAGCAAGTGTTCTGTTCTACCGCTTGAACTACACCTCTCCCCCCCCCCCCCCCCCCCAGCCCTTTTGCTCTCATTATTTTTCAGCTAGGGCATCGTGTTTCCTGGGCCAGCTTCAGACTGCAGTCCAAGTAGTTGGGATTATAGGCATGTCACTATGTGCTCACTTTTTTTTTGCTCCATCCTATTTCTCTATTTTATGAGTAGCTAGGATTATAGTTGTGTACCATCACACCTGGCTCCCCACTAACTTTTACATTACTATCCCCTACTAGAAATATAAAGAAGTAAAAGTAAATTATAATGTTAACAGTGCAGGCTAGAGCTGGTACATAACATATGCATTTTTAAGTATTTAGTGGCATTGTCACTAATGATACTTTCCAATATGTGGTCAGAATTCAGTGAAGATCTCAATGAAATAGTCTTCCCTGTATCTATTTCTGTGGCCTGCAAACATTGTATCTTAAAATCTCAAACAAGTGGGCTGGGAGGGTGCTCAGTGGTAGAGCGCTTGCCTTGCATGCATGAGGGCCTGGGTTCGATTTCTCAGCACCACATAAGCAAAAAGAAAAAAGCCAGAAGTGGCGCTGTGGTTCAAGCCTTGAGCTGAAGAGCTGAGGGACAGCGCCCAGGCCCAGAGGTCAGACCCCATGACTGGACCCCCCCCAAAAAAAAAAAATCTCAAACAAGATACTTTGTATTCATACTTACAGTATATTTACAGTAAATTTACTTTCTGTATCATAAAAACAGATTCATTAGTAAATCATTAATAGGCTATTCTAAAGTCATGTAGGATGTACTTCTAAATCTTGCATCGTAGCATCCCTTGCTTCTGCTTGTCTGAATATGGGTATAGTGTATATCTGCTATCTCCCTAGTTATTATAATGATAAAAATAACATTTTTTTATTTTTTAATAAGTTTTATTTAATTGTGAAAATACCATACAGAGGGGTTACAATTACATGAGCAAGGTAATAAGTACATTTCTTATCAAGCATCATTGCCTCCTCCTTTGGTTTTTCCCCTACCATCCCTGCCTTCCCATCTCCACTACTACACTCCCTCCACCCCCACCCCACCAAAGTTGTAAAATTTGTTTTCCAATATAGCATTTTGTCATTTTGTACATCTCATTGTTGCAATGGGTCCACCTGTATCCCTATTTAAACAATTTGATTTTTCCCTTCCCCTCCTCAAATTATACCAACATCAAATAAGTGGAAACAGGGGTTATACTGTAGGGGAGGGACATACAAAGCAACCAAAAAAAAAATCACATGGTACCTTATAAATATGTTAGAAACAATATCAAGAAAGAAAAAAACCACTTGTGTCCTTATGTTGGGGTTTATTTCGCTTAACATCATCTTTTCTGACTTTTTCTGTTTGTCTCAGACATATACTAGTTATTGCAAATAAGGGAAACCATGGGACCTATGTTTCTTTGGACCTGGCTTACTTCACTTAATTTTTTCCAAGTCTTTCCATTTCCTAAAAAATGGGGCAATGTCATTCTTTCTGATGGAGGCATAGAATTCCATTGTGTATGTATACCACATTTTCTTGATCCATTCATCTATTGAGGGGCATCTGGGTTGGTTCCATATCTTTTTTTGGGGGGAGGGGGTCTGGTCATGGGGCCTGAACTCTGGGCGTAGGTGCTGTTCCTCAGCTCTTCACCTCAAGGCTAGCGCTCTACCACTTGAGCCACAGCACCACTTTCAGCTTTTTTTTTTCTGCTTATGTGGCACTGAGGAATCGAACCCAGGGCCTCATGCATTCAAGGCATGCGCTCTACCACTGAGCCATCTTTCCAGCCCTGGTTCCATATCTTAGTTATGGTAAATATTGCTGCAGTAAACATAGTTGTGCTGGTAACCTTAGTATGATCTTGTTTGTAATCATTTGGGTAAATGCCCAAAAGTGGGATTGCTGGGTCATAGGGGAGCTCTATTTGGAGTCTTTTTTTTTTTTTTGGGTCCGGTCATGGGGTCTGAACTCTGGGCCTGGGCACTGTCCCTCAGCTCTTCAGCTCAAGGCTAGCGCTCTACCACTTGAGCCACAGCACCACTTCTGGCTTTTTTCTTTTTGCTTATGTGGTGCTGAGGAATCGAACCCAGGGCCTCAGGCATGCAAGGCAAGCGCTCTACCACTGAGCCACCTTCCCAGCCCTATGTGGAGTCTTTTGAGGAACCTCCATACTACTTAAAAATAACAGATTTTTAGTGCCTTTTATAAAGAACTGCCACTCTCTTGCAAGTTAATGGTCTCTAATGCTTGTTGACTGTTCTTTTAGTTGTTTCTTCTGTCATTAGTTACACTTTCATCTATTTCTGTCATGTAGTCATCTAGCACACATATCCCACAGAGGAAATTAGGTAATTTTTATACTTCATAGTGTTATAGTAATTATGTTTATATTGAATAATATAACAAGTAAGGCTTAATACAAAATGTCTTCATTTGTATTTGTATTTACCAAGTTTTAATGTAAACAAAATCCAAAGTAACACTTTAAAAGGTAAAAATGAAATAGAAATGGTGTGATAGTTGTCACCCATGAAGATTTTAATCAGTTGGTTTGTACTGAGTACACCACCATTTGTTGGCAACATATGGAGAAGTGCCTGCTGTATTCCAGGCACAGCACCTGGAAGGTGGATATCCCTTCCTTTTCATAGATGAGGAACTAGTGGATAGGATACAGATCTTGTTCTGTGTTAGTTCAGAGCTCGTGATTTTTTTCCCACAGACCACTCTTGCTTGTTATTGCAGTTACTGAAGGACAATATAAGGAAATAGTACTAGAGATTTAAAAATCTTGCTTTTATGTAGTTTTCACTGAAATGTCATCTAACGGATTATTTAAAATGTGATTTGATAGAATGATTTTTTACATCTAACTTTTGAAAATATATAAGATGCCTTAGAGTTTGAAAGAAAAGTGCACTGAGCAAAAATTACAAGTTTTTTTCCTCCACAATTTCAACATTTAGGTACGAGCAAAAAAGAAGAAAAGCAGTGAAGAACGAGAAAGAGCAACAGCAAGTATTTCTTATGTTTTTAGATGGCAACAGCTCAACTGTTCTGGTTTAGTATGAGTCATGGTAACACATTGTATTTACTGTGAAAAAGAAAGGATTGAGAAAAGTGGTGCTCAGCAGCTTCACTTGATGGATAAGAGAGAATCAAATTGGCTTAGGAAAGAGAAAGAAAACCTTCGTGGCAAGATCTACCTTTTTAAGATAATGAAGATATTCTAACGTCTTACTGTTAGAAATAGAAGCTCAAACTTGCACATGACTTTTTTTTTTGGGGGGGGGGTCCGGTTGTGGGGCCTGAACTCTCAGCCTGGGTGCTGTCCCTCAGCTCTTCAGCTCAAGGATAGCACTCTACCACTTGAGCCACAGCGCCACTTCCGGCTTTTTTCTTATGTGGTGCTGAGGAATCAAACCCAGGGCCTCAGGCATGCAAGGCAAGCGCCTTACCACTGAGCCAACTTCCCAGCACATGACTTTTTTTAAGGTGCATTAAAATACGGTGATTTCTTCTGTCTTCTGAAGTTATTTCTAGATCAGCCAAAGCCGGAATAACAGAAAAAGCCTTTTAAAGCATTACCTGCAGTGGAAAATAAGCAGGAAAGTGGCATTGTAATGACACACTAATATTGATTACTCTTTTAAAACCAATCTTCCATTATGAAAATTGAGAAGTAGAAAAGAGAATTAAAGAGAATAGCAGTGCATTTTCTATTCTAATAATTTCACTAAAAATAAAAATTATTATGTTTGCTCTTCCTAAAATCTGTCATTTTGTCGACAGTTGAGTTTTACTTTGTGGCCTTTAGAAATTATAACATGAGTAATAATATTCTACTAAATTTATTCTACAAGAAGTTGTGTTAGAAGGTGTGGTCACATGCCAATGACTTAAGATTTTGTTTTCCTTATTTTATAAATATTGACAAGAGGGCTGGGAAGGTGGCTCAGTGGTAGAGCACTTGCCTTGCATGCATGAGGCCCTGGGTTCGATTCCTCAGCACCACATAAGCAAAAAGAAAAAAAAAATTGACAAGAACTTTTGTTCCTTGTATTATGACTGTTTATAGACTTTTCAAGAGATGTTTTTTCCCCTTGGTTGTGTGGATTGTTTGTAATAGCTTAGACATACTTTGGTAAAGATGTTCTTTGTTTACATATTTCCCAGTAGTAATGTCTTTAATGTGGAATTATAATTACAGGAAAAGACAAAAAAGAAAAAGAAGCATAAGAAACACAGTAAAAAGAAGAAAAAGAAGACTGCTAGTTCAAGTCCTGATTCATCGTAACATTTAGAAAAACCTGGATTCCCTTAAAGAAAGTGCAATGTCTAAGAAAATTTCAACTGTGAAAATTATGACATATTTACTAAAATGCATGAACTTTCTTGTTTCTAAAATTATTCCTGGACTCTACAGTAGCCACTCAGGTGCTGCTGTTTGGAAGGTCATGATTGCTGCCTGCGTTTTGAGCATCTACTTTCTCCTTTGTGCTTGATAACTCTCGGAGATATTACACACACTGCAGTCATGATAGTGGTTAAGACATTTGGGAATAAAGCTAATACTTTTGACTAGATATATCTATGGATAAACAGAAATTGAATCTGGATGTATCTTTAGATGCAGTCAGAAATGACAGATGATTCTAGTTAAAATTTTTGAAGTAGGGATTACATTAATGCTTCAAAAATCTTGTAGATAAGTGTATTTTAATTTTTTCCCCTGTATACTTTTATTTACCTGGGAAGGAACTTTTAAGGCGGGAGGGTGGTTTGCTATCTAGCTAGCAGAATAGCGTGCCTTTGATCCTCACACATCTTATTTTTGTGGACACAGCAGCCATGCTTCCTGGGGAGTTTAGAGCTGGGTGCCAGCAGTCTTGTCCTTTACTGAGCTTAGTAACATCCTTGGATTTTGTGTGCTGCTTTGAGTGAGTCAGAGATGTGAAGCCCTTTGCAGCATGAGAAAACCCCCAAAGCTCGGAATTTACCTCCACATCTATAATAACTGAATGTTTTTTAGCATTAGAATGTGTTATGTTGTTTGAATTTTGACTACACTTTGACTTTGGAGAGGAATAGTTTCAGATAGACACTGGTACTTTTTGAAATGGATAGTTGAAGATTCTAAAATGCATGTTTTATACTGTTAAGTTTTAACCAGTCAAGAAAATTTTATGTAACCAGTGATTGTTACCTTTATTTTTTGTATAAATTTTGTTTAGGCTGCAATGTTTAGCTTTAGTTAACTCCTTACTCTTGCTGTCTTACATTCATTACTATGTTTAATGGCATATTTGCCACGATATTTAGCATGTAAAAAGCAGGGATTTCATTTCTTTTTTTAACAGCTTCATATTGAAGCTGAGACCATACACAAGTTGAGTGCAGGCTTGATATGCTATATCTTGTTAAATAAAGCTGTTGCCAGAATCTTAGTAAATACATTTTAAAAGTCTGTTGTCTTTCTAGGTTAGTAACAAAATATAGTAAGTTAACTTTAAGTGAGAATTACATTACTTCTCTTTCTGTGTCATTTTACTAAGATTTTGTGCCTCAGATATTCTGCTGAATTATTAGGAATGTTAAAAGGAATTGATAAATTGTTTCATTTTACATTTTTATATAATCAGGTAATAAGAAATGTAATTTGATGTACAATTTTACCTGTTTCAAAAGGTTTGCTAATTACAGTGGTATATGCACAGAGCATTTTGGCATGACAAGAGGCTGAATAAATAGCTATTTTACTTAAAAATAGCTGTGCTCTTATCTCCCTTTGAGTCACAGGTAAACTTACAAAGGTAAAATACTAGTAGGTATTAGTAATAGGTAAAGTAAACCCTCAAGGTTTTAGTGGTTAAGCCAAAAACAAACCATTTCAAGAGTTTTTATTTTTCCTTCTGTTTTTTAATGCTTAAAGCTTCATACTGCTTTCTCATAAAGTTACCTGTATGCATGCCAGGTATGGTGGTAACATGCCTTATAATCCCAGCATTCGGAAGGCTAAAGCAGAAGGGTTGTAAATTTGAGGTAGTTGTGAGTTTGAAGATAGCTTGGGCTATATAGAGAGATCCTGTCTCAAAACAACTTTTTTATGTGCCAATACTGAGATTTGAACTCGACCTCACACCCTCACTCAGTTCATGGTTGGCACTCTATCACTTGAACCACATCTTCAGTGTAGCTATTTTGCTGTTTACTTGAAAATAAAAGTCTTGAAGATTTGTCTGCTAACTTCAAACTTTGATTCTTAAATTTCAGCTTCCTAAGTAATTAGGATTATAGGCGTGAGCCACCAGTGCCTGGCTTTTTACACACACTGAGTACATAAAATTGAGGGCATTTTATATTCTCAGAATTGTTTGTAAAAATGCTATTAAAATCATCAGCTTATTTGCTGTATATTTCAGTGTACAAGTGCAGCTTTATAGACTGGTCCTTAGTTCTGTTCCACTAGAAGCAACTGTTTCAGACATTGGGGATGAGGGGAAGGAAGAGATTTGGCAAATTGCCTTTTCTTTTCAGTCTGATGATTCTCAGAGAAGCATTTCATTGTTTCTCTGCAGTAACCTTAACAGTCTTCCCAAAAACGATACAAGAATATATATGCCAGAGTAATGTTGTCAGTTGTGTATACTGTAGCTGTTAAATGTTGCAAAACAGCATCAGACTACTCTTTTTCTTTCATGAGTTTTATAAACATAAAGCATGTAACTTGCACAATGGGACTACCTGGCAGAAGTGGATGAGTGTCTACATAGAAAACAATGGCCTTATGTCACTTCTACTTTTTTTTTTTCAGTTACTTTGGATTACAATATTTAGATGTTTTAAGTGCTTTAAAATCAATCTAGTTTTATTTATCCAGAATACAGTTTCATGTTCTTCCATAAAGATGTGCTAAAGACCCATTCTTTAAATTTCTATTATCATAAACAACAAACTAGCCTTGGTAAAACCAAGTGTCAACTATTATTATTTTTTTTTTCTTTCAGAGCTGAGGGCCAACTTCTGGTTAAAATTTTCACACTTAAGAAATTTTAAAATCGTGCATTTATCTGCTATTTTTGGAATGAAAGTTTTGTGAGAACTTTTTTTTCTAATTGTATCTACCTTGTTTAAGACTTACTCCCCTTCTCCCTTCCTTTCCCTCCCTTCCCTCCCCTCTTCCCCCCTCCCCCCCACGAGTTAATCAAGGGGCCTGGGCGCTGTCCCTGAGCTTCTTTGTCTTCAGCTCAAGACTAGCACTCTACTACTGGAGCCACAGCGCCATGCCTGGCCTTTCTGAGAAGTTGGAGATAATTCTATAGACTTTCCTGCCTGGGCTGGCTTCAGACTGCAGTCCTCAGATCTCAGCCTCATGAGTAGCTAGGATTACAGGTGTGAGCAACCAGAACCCAGCAAAACTTACTCTTATACTTTAATAAAAATTCAGTTAGAGGAACTAGAATATATTGCCCTACATTTAATTTCTAATTTAAAAAAATTGTTTAAGTATTTCATCCTCCAGCCAGAATGGCCATCGTCAAGAATGTGCAGCATCAAGTTGTGCAGCTATTATAGAAGGCAATTTGGAGATTATTAAAAAAAAAATAGAAGTAGAGCTACCTTCTAATCTAGTGATACAACTGTTGGGCATTTATCCAAAATAATACAAATCAGGTTACAGTAAATGCACCAGTACACCTTGTTCATTCAGAGCTGCACTAGTCACAGTAGCTAAGTACCAGATACAGCCCAGATGCCCTATAATTGATTCTCAAGAAATATGGTATGTATAGACATTCGAATTTTATCCATCAGGAAGGTTCATTTTCAGGGAAATGGATCTGGAGAAAAATCATACTGAGTAAACTAGGTTCAGAAAGACCAAGGTCATGTTTTCTCACATACATGGATGTTAGACTAAAATATAAACAAATAAATACAGGGCCATCTGCATGCATGATGTGTGTGTGCACGCGTGTATGTGTGCATGTGTGTGTATGCCTATAATCAAACTGGTTTATGCAGGACAGATTCCATCTTGTAATCCCTTTGAATAATAAGCAGCTTAACAGAAATGAGTATTAGGAAGCTTAAACAAGACTTATTCATAAACTTCCTCTGACTGAGGTAACTAGTGAGCAAATGAAGTTACAATAATGTATGTAAGTAAAAATGGAACTGGGAAAAGGAGTGTGGCTAGGCTAGGTGGAGAATGTTAAAGGTGTGGCTGATCAAGATATACACATAAATGGACATGTTAAGCTCAATCTCCAGTATACACTTAAAAATAATTCAGAAATTTCAGCCTAGGACTAAGGGCATAGTCAGTCTAGTATTCACAAAGTCCTGGTTCAAGCCCTAGCAACAACAAAGAAAACCGTCCCTAAAAGTAGTTTCAGAGGATTTTCTTGACTTACCAAAATGATGGCTACCAGATGCCTCAATAGTTTTTTTCCCTACCAAGATATTACCCTAGACATCAATTAGAACAGTGGACATTTCAGTGAGCTTTGGTTTACATCATGTTTTCCTACCAGTCTTAGGTGAAAATGGGTTTTTACACTTCAGAAGATTCCAGATTGAAAACCTTTGAGTCTCATGAAAAGATGTTTGGTTAGAGTTTAAAAGTTATGCTCTTAGAGGGAGCGGTCTATGGCCTGGGAAATCAGCTGAGAAACATCCATCTCAACTATCATGTTCAAATACAGAAATATTTTTAGGGAGAATAGCAATAGAATGATATACTAATTTGAGTATGTTTAGCCCTCAAGAAAAAGTATATGCTGAAATTGCCACAATGCTTCAGATCACAGTAACCTTAGTGAAAACCCCTAATACGTACTGAGTGGTAGCTACCATTGCTGCCAGGTTTTCCAGTTACTTGAAAAGGTTCTGTTTGGTTGCTAGGAAGTTTCTGTGGTCACATTCCATAGTGAGAGATTGGCGTGATGAACTATGGGATCAGCAGTTGTTTAGAACACCCAAGCTTAGAGCAAGCCTATCTAGGAAGTACAGCGTGTTGAAGCCAAACTCAGCATGGAGCAGCGGGCTCTGAAGAAACTAGTCGAATCCATCTGTAAAACTGTCAAAAGCTGTAAGTACTGACCAGATTTACAACACTACCTGAGCATTTTTGGTTCAGTCAAATACAAATGTTAAGTTATACTAATTGGAAACATACTACTTAGGTATTGAGTACTTTGTAACACTAGAGTCTCTGTCTAATATTTAGGTTATTTTAAAAATGAGTTAGGTAAGTGAATAATTGTGTTTGCACTTACACGGAAAGTGTTTTAATGCTTGGGTGTCTTATGTAGTAAAAACGGCTTCAGGATTTTACATGGTATAAGTGATAAAGGTAATCTGCTAGCCTAGGGCTGAGCTTATATTGAAATGTAATCAGAATTTCTAAATTATGAAGGTTTACTGCAGTCACTGCCCCTAGTTGTCTGGTACAAACCCCACAGTGGTAGATAATCACTCTAGAGGATTAAAAAAATATGTAGGATACTTAGATGCTGAATTAATGACATTGCTTTGCACATGGCTAGTGTTTGCATACTAAAGATACTTAGATTTAATAGATTTTCTTTTTAATCCTTGTCCTAAAAAAACTTAAGCAATCTTGTGTTTCTCAACATAAGTATTGACTGGTAATCCTCAATCTTTTGGACACCGATGAAGTTCATTTCAGCCACTGTTACAGAATCATTAAGAGCACGTCTGGGTTTTTTTCCCTGTTACAGAATCATTAAGAGCACTTCTGGGTTTTTTTCCCCAAGACCAAGACTCAAACTCAGTATCTGATGCTTTCACCCATTGGTTGGCAGAGAGCACTTCTATTTACTTGATTGATCTCAGAGTATAGCTGTTACCTAAGATTCATTGTAGAGTTGATTTTTATGGTGGTACTATAGTTTGAACTTGGGTCCTCCATTTGGCTAAGCCAAGTTGAGCCATGGCTCATTTGAGCCATGACTCCAGCTTACATGTTTTCTAGTTATTAAAGTCTCAGACTTCTCTGCCTGGGCTGGCTTCCAACCATGATTCTCCACATCTTAAGACATTAGCTATTAGCTACAACTGACTTTAAAACTCCAATTTTTTGGTCTCACTAGCCACTTTGGGGGTAAATGGGGGCAGGGTATCAGTCACATACATGGGTAGTGGCTACAAAAGTAGACAACAGATCAAAAACAATGCGATTTCAGAAGGTGTTGATCTCATGGCTCACTTAATGGGTGAGCAAGCTATGCATTCTTACAAGACCTGTGTTTAATGTTCCTCTGTTACTGACTTAATTTTTGAACTTCAGTGTGCACTGAGGCACAAAGTTGTCAGTGTTGGCATACACTCTTGCTTGAAGTATAGGAATATCTACATCATCAGAATCAATGAAATGATTGTGTCAAAAATACCACCCCAGTTGTATTGTCTCTGGAAATTCAAATTTTTCACTACAGGTAAAATCGCTGAAAATGGGGCATTTAGAAATGATTGAGTCATTTCACATTACTTAACTGGTTACTTTGACATCTGGAAATGACTCTCGTCAAACATATTCCTTAACTTCTCCAATTACAGTCCTCTAAATCTGACAAGTACTTCAATTCACAAGTGGTTGACAAAAACATTAAGAGCCTACCAGTGTGCTAGACCCTCTTGGATACTGAGTTTGTTTTAAACATGCTAAACCAATACCTTTTGAGCAGGCACCATGGGCTCCTGCCTGTAATGCCAACTATTCAGGAGACAGATCTGAATGATCACAGTTTGAAACCAGACCATGCAGGAAAGTACACTGGACTATCTGCAACACCAGCAAAAAGCTGAGGTGGAGGTGTGGCTCAAGTTGGTAGCATGACAGCTGAGCAAGCCCAAGCAAGGCTCTGAGTTGTGTAAAGGACAAACACATGTATATGTATGAACCCAGGCACGTACACACTAATCCCTGGGACCACTGACTTAGCAATTATGATTTAGCAAACCTGAGGCATGTCCTACAAACCTGCATATTTGCCAAATGTGGAACAGTGGAAAGAGGGTTGCTTCTCATAAACAGTCTAAAAGATGATGTCATGAGAAACATTGTTTCTGAATGATAAACACGAGATCCTTTTCCTCTTCTACCTCAATTTTCACTTCTTGCCAGTTTGCCATGACACCAATAAGGTGTCTTCAGCATCTACTTCTGCCTGTTTCTTTAACTCATATTGTGTACTGTCCTTAGAATGCTCCACTCCATACCTAAATTAATGCTACTTCAAAGTCAACTTTTCCCATGAAGACAGCCAGCTCCTCTTTCCCACTGCACATTTTCCTCCTTTACATGTCTATGGGAGGAGTGTGAATTCTTACATAATTTTGCAGTTATATACTGCTGTATAAGACTTGTGAGTTAAACCTACCTTAATTACATAAACTCCTAAGTAAAAAGTCCTTATCATTTTTAGGGAGGTTAGGGGGAAGGGATGGTTACATTAGGCCCAGGCTACCTGATATCGTAAGAACAAAAAAGCTGCTTAGTAAAGTATAACTGAATAACTCAATAATTAACATTTTTTGTCTTTTCATTTTTTCAGTCAAAAAAAGTGAGGTACACTGTCTCATAAATCTTTTTCAAAGCTTGGTGGAAAGAAGTGGTGGAAGATTTGATAAGGGGTTAGATCGTAACACATTTCGAGGGATCCTGTACAGCATATTTGGAATGACTGATGATACGTTGATGAACAGAGGTAAGGAATAGTAAGATTTAAATATGCCAATCTGAGATGCAAACTGTATACATGTGTGCATGTGTGTGTATTCAGTTGTCATCAAAGACTGATTTATTTTAATTAAAAAACTAGAAAGGTAAAATTCTAAGTGTAGCTAGCATTCCAAACAAGTTTGATTATGAGGATGATTTTTAACACAAACTCAGAATTTCATATAACTATATAGCTCTGAGAAATCACTAATGAACTAAATTTTTTTAAAGTAAGCAGCTTTTGGCTTATACTTTGATCCTAGCTACTTAGGAGGCTGAGATCTAAGTGGAGGTGTGGTTCAAGTGATAGAGTGCCTGCTTAGAGCAAAAAAGTCAAGCAAGACTAGAAGACTTGAGTTTAAGGTCCCATCCAGGCGCGCACACGTGCATGTGCATGTGCACACACACACACACACACACACACGAAAAATCATGGTAACTTTAGAATTACATACTTTAGACATGTTTGTTATTACTTGACTTTTTCTTCAAAAAATGGAAAACTGTCAGTATAAAAATGAAAACTCGGGACTGGGAAGATGGCTCAGTGAGGCCCTGGGTTTGATTCTCCAGCACCACGTAAGTGAAAAAAGCCAGAAGTGGAGCTGTGGCTCAAGTGTAGAGTGCTAGCCTTGAGCTGAAGAGCTGAGGGACAAGCCCAGAGTTCAGGCCCCACGACTAACCAAAAAAAAAAAAAAAAAAGGATAACCGTGGGAATATCAAAGAAAAAATATTTAAAGTAGGAAATTATTAACTGTAATCATTTCCTGGATCAGATCTTTAAAGTGTACAATATTTATATATATGTATTGTTGAATCAAAAAATAATTATAATACACTTAAAAACACATTTTTTTCTTTTAGTGTTTTTTGCATTTGACAAAGACAGTGATAATTACATCAATGTAATAGAATGGATTAAAGGATTATCAGTGTTTCTTCGAGGGACTTTTGAAGAAAAGCTCAAGTGTAAGGATACTGGTTTAGTGACACATATTGCCAATTCTGTAGGTTTAAGTATTTAAAAATATGAATTCACTTTAACAGCCTTGCAAATAAGGGGTTCATGATAGCAGAAAGAGAGAGAGACAGAGAAGAAAAAGAGGGAAGGAAGGAAGGAAAGAAAAAGAAAGGAGGAGAAAAGCCAAAGTGCCCTAATTATAAGGTCATGGGAGAGTCCCTAGCCCTATGGCCCCAAATCATTGCCTTCAGTTTTTTTCTTTAATAATCAAGTGTCATTAGGATGTCTTTGGATTATGGTCCAGACTAATAGCAGTTCAGGGTCAGGCTTGTATCAACTCTGATCAGCTGGCAAGGTTTAGTTTCTAAGGCTGCCTTCTGGGCACAGCATGAAACAGGGCCTGATTTGCAGCTGTACAAATCCTTTGGGGCCATCCTTTGTCATTCCACCAAAGAAAATGTGTGAGGGGTTGACACAGAACCAGATTAAACACACACTAACCACCTGATGTTGAAACTCACAATGTTGGGAGTTGTTACAGATCACTGAGGAGAGAAAGATGAAGGTAATCTAAGCTCAAAGGGAAGTGTGCTACAATGGAGCTCACTCCTTGGGAATGCCAAAGACAATGACCTCCCAATTTACAATTTTGTCTAATACTAAGCGCTGATTTGTCCCAGTGGGATGATGTTTTACTCTTCTGGTGTTCTCTGGGTTCTTCTGGTTACTCTTTGGATTCTTTCAAGAATTCTGGAAATAATACAAATAATTTCAAATATCAATTTTCAGGGAAACAAACTGTTTAATGTCTAACTGCTTTAGCAAAGATTGCAGAATTCTCCATAAATAAGCATTTTTTTTGGGGGGGGGTCTGGTCATGGGGCCTGAACTCTGGGACCTGGGCGCTGCTGTCCCTCAGCTCTTCAGCTCAAGGCTAGCGCTCTACCACTTGAGCCACAGTGCCACTTCCAGCTTCTTTTTCTTTCTTTCTTTCTTTTTTTTTTGGGTCCAGTTGTGGGGCCTGAACTCTGGGCTTGGGCACTGTCCCTCAGCTCTTCAGCTCAAGACTAGCTCTCTACCACTTGAGCCACAGCGCCACTTCCGGCTTTTTTCTTTTTTTGCTTATGTGGTGCTGAGGAATAGAACCCAGGGCCTCAGGCATGCAAGGCAAGTGCTCTGCCACTGAGCTACCTTCCCAGCCTGATCCAGCTTCTTTTTCTTTTTGCTTATGTGGTGCTGAGGAATCGAAGCCAGGGCCTCAGGCATGCAAGGCAAGCGCTCTACTACTGAGCCACCTTCCCAGCCCCAAATAAGCATATTTTTATCCCTTGTTCTTCACTTGATTTGGCTGAGATATTGAAAAGACCTCTAAATTAATACATTTTAAAAGTTATATCTAAAAATCACCAAATCTGGCATTTGTGATTTGTTAAACTATCTTTAAGTAGTTATACAAAAGCCTTCAATTCAACATTATCTATTTGTAAGTACAATGTATCTTGATTAATGTCATGCTTCCATTACTAACCCTCTCTAATTACCACTTAAACCTGGTTCAGTGTTTTTGTGGTGGTGGTGATAGTGGTGGCTGTTCTATATAGTTTTGTAGGGGTAGGGATAGAACCTAGAACCTCATACTTGTTAGGCAAGCATAAGTTATATACTATTGGCCTTGTAGTATTCTTTTACAAAAATCTCACTGAGAAGTGAAAAGCTAAGCTTTAGGGATATAAATCCTTTTAATACTAGTAATTGGTGAAAATGACTATTACACCAAATGTAACTGTACATAACTAAACTATCACACTATTAAAAAACTTCTGTATTCAAATTCTACTTCTTAAAATGTTTCCTATACATTTAAAGATAAATTAATTCAGGGGAAAATACTTTCTTCAGAATGAAACTCATATGTATGTTATAGATTGAAGAAATTTAACTAATACAGCTAATCTGGTACTCTAAAAGTTTTCTGGCCGGGCACCAGTGGCTCACGCCTGTAATTCTAGCTATTCGGGAGGCTGAGATCTGGGGATTGTGGTTCAAAGCCAGTCCAGGCAGGAAAGGCTGTGAAACTTATCTCTAATAAATGATCAGAAAACCAGAAATGGTGTTGTGGCTCAAGTGGTAGAGCACTAGCCTTGAGCTGTTGAGCTGAGGGACAGCACCCAGGCCCAGAGTTCAAGACCAATGACGGACAAAAAAGAAAAAAAAAATCTGGGTGCTATTACTTTTGCCAAAACATTTAACTAGACTACAGACTGAAAATTCCTACAATTCTGTACCTCCCCCTGGACCTGAGTAAAGTCATTGGTGGGATCAATTGAGTGAACTCTTGTGTGGGACACAGGGAGAAGCAAGGCATGGAAGTCACTCTGGGGAGGATATATTTGATAATTTGGGACTGCAAAAGAGCAGATCAAGGTAATGACTGAACCTACTATCCTAAAATCTTTCAACTACATAGTAAATTGAGATTAGTAATTATATGTGTAATAGAAAATTTGTCTTTATATACTAGTATCTAATGTTGAAATAACCAGAAGATTAACAATATTTTAACTATTCTTATTCACATTTTAAAACTTCTTATGCTTTCAAGTCTGTTTTGAAGTTTATTATTTGAATGGAGATGGTTGTATTTCTCAAGAAGAAATATTTGACATGTTGAAGAACAGTCTATACCAACAGTCACCTGAAGAAGAGAGTGATGAAGGAATAAGCGAGTTAGTAGATCTAACACTGAAGAAAATGGTAAGAATGAAAAACTGCTGGGCACTCCTACTCAGGAGGCTGAGATCCAAAGACCATGGTTTGAAACCAACCTGGGCTGTAAGACTCTTATCTCTCAATTAAGCAGCAAAACCTACAAATGGAATTATGGCTCAAGTAGTAAAGTGTCAGCCTTAAATAAAAAAGCTAAGGGGCAGTATCTGGGCCCCAAGTTCAAGCCCTAGAATAGCACAAACAGAAAAAAAGGAAAAACTAAAAGCTGTATTGCATTACATTCAATCAAATATAGGTTGCATAGAGCTAAAGAAAAATTATTTATTTTCCTCCATAATGAATGTAACTCTTAAGTCAGTTTATATTTGTTCTCTGTCTTATCTATTACCTAGAATAGTCCTGTTGAAAGTGTATGCCAATAAATATTTAGAGACTGGCTGGGCCATTAATCATTATAGAAAATAAATGCTAGATTATTGTTTTCAAATATTTTACTATCAGTAAACCTCATTAATTTATAGGGAGGCATGATCCAACTCCTGTTAACATTGAATGCTGCTTTATTTGGTAACACCTTAAGTCTAGACAGCTATTTTTGATAGCTGATAGTAAAAAAGAGACCATTACTTATCAAGAAATTATCTTCCTTCTTAGGATTATGACAATGATGGCAAGATATCTTTTGCAGACTTTGAGACAGCAGTGAGAAAAGACACACTTCTGTTGGAGGTGTTTGGACCATGTTTACCGGAAGCAAAGGTAGAGTACAAGTATCAAAAGCCCAAACTGGTCAAGGGAAACTTTAAAGAGCCAGCGAATAATACTTGTTAGACTTTATAGGTAGCTTATTACTGAAGTTTAGGCAATTATAAAGGAATCAGCCTCCTCAACCCAGTTTGGGGCCCTACAAAGAACTATTGACTAGTTCAGTGACTTAAGACTTTGACCTTGTAAGCACTTTAGACTTGCAATTCATTTTAAACACAATGGAAATATTTTCTCAAACTAAACCCAGAATATACTGACTTGATTCAGTGATAAAACATTGAGAAAAGAGTAGATTCAACTAGAACCAACTATAAATTGCTATAATCCTCACCTCTTTCAACTCAACTGCTGTCAAATAATAAAAATAAAAAGGCTTTCAAAACTCCTAGACACCAACAGTTTTATAGTGTTTTATTTGTGCTCATGAGGCTTTTCATATGTGACTCTGAGTTGAAATGATTAGCTTCATGATTGGGCTTGCAAAACTTCCTTTCTTTGATTAGCTCTACTTTTCTTCAACATGGAAAAAGGTGATATTCAAAAAAGTGATATTCAAAAATTGCAGAAGTGAGAATTTCCCAAACTGGTTTTTCAACTGCTATAAATCAAGTAAATTTTTCCTAAAAGTTAACAAAAGCATGTAAACTTCTAATTTTAACTTGGTTCTAATAGCTTATTAATTTTCTTACTTTACAGAATTGTCTTCATTTTGAAGCCTTGGCATTCAGAAACATCATGACTTTTCAAACGTGAATTGCTCAATACTTACATTAAAATTAGAAACAGATCCTGGTTATGTATCTTTGAAAACTTTTATATTCGCTTCAATGTGCAGTTATTGTGATATGAAACAATGCTATATTAACAAGAAAAGTTCCTCAATGAAACTGTAATATTAGAGAAACAATATGAATTAAATTACATAATGTACATTTTAAAATAGTAGTTGGGATCGAGGCATGGCTGAGCAGTAGAGAGCCTATCTGGCAAGCACGAGGCCCTGAGTCTAAACACCAGCACCACCAAAGGAAAAAACCTGTTTTTTGGTATGTGTCCGTACTGGAGTTTTAACTCAGGGCATCTCACTCTTGCTTAACTCTTTCACTCATGGCTGGTGCTCTACCACTTGAACCATACCTCCACTTCCAGCTTTTTGCTGGTCAACTGGACATCAGTGCCTCAGAGATTGTCTGGCTGGGCTGGCTTCAGACCTTGATCGCCTGAGTGAGCACTGTAGACATGAGCTCAGTGAAGGGGAATAACAGAAATTTTAAAAAAGAAAAACATTTCTCTTTGGAAAATACCAACTTGTTAATGGCAAGCTATATTCTTCTTCTTTGTTTTAATGGACGACTTGGACACGAATGTTCCAACTTGTCATCTGAAGGCTTTGGTACAGATGAAATTACCTAGTTAAAAAAAAAGAATCACTAAAAGTTAGTTCTTATTGGACAAGATTAAATAAATTACTAGAAGAAGAAGGCTATAGCCAGGCATGAAGCCCATGCCTCTAATCTCAGCTACTTAGGAAGTGAAGATCAGGAGTGAAAGACCAGCCCAAACAAAACGGTTAGCCAGACCAAGTCTCAAAAAAATCATGCTGGATGTGGAGGTGCGTGCTTACAATCACAACTACGCAGGAGGCATAAGAAGGAAGATGGCAGTCAGGCTGCCACAGGCAAAACTGACCCTATCTGAAAAATAAACCAAAAAAAAGGCTAAGAGATGGCTGAAGTGATAGAACAGTTTTTTAGTAAGTACAAGGCCCTGAGTTTAAATCCCAGGAGTAAAAAAAATCCTCCAAAACCCCAAAAAAACAAACAAAAAAGCCCAAGAATATGCATGTAAAAATTCGATCACTGCCATTAGTTTTTTTTGCCAGTCCTGGGGTTTGAACTCTGCCTGGGAGAGCTGTCCCTGAGCTTCTTTTGCTCTAGCACTCTGCCACTTGAACCATAGCACTACTTCGGCTTTTTGAGTAGTTTATTAGAGATAAGAGTCTCTTGCAATCCCTTGTCAGGGCTGTCTTTGAACCACAATCCTCAGATCTCAGTTTCTTGAGTAGCTAGGATTACAGGTGTAAGCTACCAGTGCACAGCATTGCCATTACTTTTGAGACAAGAATAGATGCAGTTAAAGTTATATCCTATGACAGAAGTATACAGTGAAGTTGTTTCTGTCCACGTGGTAGAGCGCTAGCCTTGAGCTGAAGAGCTTAAGGGCAGTGCCCAGGCCCAGAGTTCAGGCCCCACGACCAGAACCCCCCCAAAAAAAAATTTTAATGAAGAATGATTATGTGGCTCAGGTAGTAGAGTACCTATACTTATTAAACACTAGGCCCTGAGTTCAAACCCCACTACTACCAGAAGAAAAAAATATCTGAAAATGGAAAAAAAAATTAACTACAATTTTATAATCTTCCTTCTATAATTAAACTGTACCCTTAAAAGTTTTTAAAAATTATCTTCCAGGGGCTGGGAAGGTGACTCAGTAGTACAGTGCTTGCCTTGTATTCATGAGGCCCTGGGTTCGATTCCTCAGCATCACATAAGCAGAAAAAGCCAGAAGTGGTGCTGTGGCTCAGGTGGTAGAGTACTAGCCTTGAGCTGAAGAGCTGAGGGACAGTGCCCAGGCACAGAGTTCAGGCCCCATCACCAACAAAAAATAAAAATAATAAAAAGTATCTTCCCTCTTTTGTCACTTATCTTTATTACCTTTTTGGGGGACTGAGGGGAACCAATACTAAGACTTGAACCCATATACAAGGGTGCTCTCTCTTAGCTTTTTCACTCAAACTTGACATTCTACAAGTTGAGCCATGCCTCCATTTAATCTTACCTCCTTAAGTTTATTCCGAATTAAGTTTGCCGTTGTATTCAAGGAGTCATCCTGCAAATCTACTTTAGGTATGTCTGGTAATTTAGGTCCAATTATAACCTCATTACTGCTTGTGCTTGTTTCAAGCAAAGTTCCAAGTTTACGGTCATCTTCTCTTCTTCTTTTCCGTTCCTGTAGTTGTGTTGTTCTAGGCATAAATCTGTCAACTGCCTCTGATGAAATAAGGTCTTTTTGTGCATTCAAGCAAGGTACTGGATTCTTAAAAGTGTTTAATGGCACTTTCTGTGAAGAGTTAGTATGATTACAATACTTCACAGCTTCATTATGGTTACTATCATCCTTGTAGGAATTTGATGGTCTGTCCATGTGCTCCCCAGATGAACAGGTACATTTTGAGGCAAAATAACATAAAGGCAATTCACAAGAATAAGGAAGACAAGTAGTTGAGTTCCCAGAAGTCTTCAAAGAAGCTGCACAAAATCCAGATCTATCTGAGTGGAAGTCTGATCTAAAATCTTTGTGCTTATGTTCTGGAATCACTTTCCTCTTTGACTTGTAATAGTCTTTGTATTTAAAAGTCGAAGGAAAGGGAAACAAATGAGTCATTAGTTGTTTTCATCATTAAGAATCATATAATTTGTAAAAACAAATTTAAAAGGTTAACAAATTTTACTCCAAAATTTTTATTTTTTAAAATTATCTTTAATTAGCTGTATAAAGTATTTGCCATTTAACAAAGCAATTTATGAGCACAATATATCTTGATCAATGTTACTTACCCCTTTCAACAATGCATTAATATGGTTAAGTGCTTTTAAAAGGATACAAAGGGACACTGTGCCCACTATCACTTTTCCCTTGCTCCCATCATTACAAGTTCACTCTTCTTTATTTGTGTATTTTACTCCTCCCATGAATCCCTCTTTGTATCCTCACTCTAAAGTTAACCATTGCATTTTCTCTGAATCTTTTCGTTTTCTACTTAACTATAGATCTTAGGAGAGTTTTCTATGTCCTAATGTAGAAAGCTTTTTTTTTTTTTTTGGCTCCGGTCATGGGGCCTGACCTCTGGGCCTGGGTGCTGTCCCTCAGCTCTTCAGCTCAAGGCTAGTACTCTACCACTTGAGCCACAGCGCCACTTCCAGCTTTTTTCTTTTTGCTTAGTGGTGCTGAGGAATCGA